GAACAGCGGTTAGTTGCCATCTGGCCCGTCGACCAGCTCGGCGTGCCCTCTGCCCCTGAGCGAATCCCTCTCACCCTCCCCCTCCTCGCCCTGTCCTCCCTGTCCTCCCTGTCCTCCTCGCTGTCCTCCTCCCTCGTCTCCTCACGTGTCCCCCATCGCCCTGCCCTCCCTGTCCTCCTCGCTGTCCCCCTTCCTCTCCACAATTACACAATATGAAAATACTCTCCCACTTCCCCTGATGGCGTCCCGAAGATGGCCGACCCCCCCCGCGTACTGTTTTTTACACAGGATTCCCGGGAAACGGGTTTTCGCTTGCGTTTTTTTTCAAAATGCTGCTCTCGCTGAGGCGCCGGCCTCATTTCTGCTCCCGAATCGTTCCGAATCGTGCTCCCGCTGCAGCGTGGGCCTCATTTTCGGATCGGTGTTTGGCCTCCGTCGTTCAGGATGGCGTTCTCGCCCCAGCGCGGGCCTCTTTCTCGCGCCCATCCGCCCGCCACCATCGCGCCACCACCACCACCACCACCACCACCACCACCACCACCACCACCACCACCACCACCACCACCACCACCACCACCACCACCACCACCACCACCACCACCACCACCACCACCACCACCACCACCACAACCACGCACACACGCACGCACGCACGCACGTGCACCACCACCCACTACGCACGCGCGCGCGGAGCCACAGGTCCGCTACGACACGCGTCCGCGGATAGAGAAAATCAGCGCCATGGTAAGGGATGGGAGGGAGGGGTAGGACGTCAGATATGACGCGAGCGCACCTAGCTTGTCCTCCCCCCCTCCCTCATCTCCTCCCTGTCCTCCTCGCGTGCTTCGAAGTGGCGTGGTGCCTGCGAGCCAGCAGCGGCAGGTCCCTGGGGGCGCCGCGAGAGCGGTGCCGGGCGTCCTCGAGGCCACGGGCGGGGGCCGGCTTCCCGAGCCGAGGCTTTTTTTCCCGATGCTCCAGGGGGGTCTGGGCGCCGACGTCGTCGCGGGAGCTTCGCGCCGACGTCGTCGGAGCGATCGACGCGGCCCGCGCGGGGCCCGCCATGGTCAGAAAGCAAGCGGAGGCAGGGGTGGGCCGCGCGTCGGTCAGGAGAGCGCTGGAATCTATGTATTCGCCCCGGGTGCTCCCTGTTTTTTTTGCTGCGCACTTTTGTTTTTTTCTCCCAGGAAGGCCTGCGTCTGGTCTGAGAGGCACCAGCGCGCCCTTCGGTCGGTTTTCCTTGGCCCCCAGTCGCCCCGGGCCCGCTCGCGCAAATGGAACCTGGCGGCCAGCCCTGCGCGCGCGTTGCGCGGGGAACTTGATGGCCTTAGTTGGCGCCGCAGTTCTGAGCGCGATGCGGTGGCTGGCCGCAGGATCTCGAGGTGTTCACTTTCGCTGGGTGTGCCCCGCCGCGCGCGCCGCGCCGTGGAGCAAGGCTTCGAGGCGGGGGGAATTCTGACGAGATGCACTTCCCCTAAGCCCCCCTCCCCCTGCTCAGCATTCGGCCCCCGTCGGCAGACGATCTCCTGCGGGGTTTGTTGTTCGCGGATGGGGCCCGTTTCTGGCCCAGCGTGCCTCAGCTGGCGAGAGCCGGCTGGGCAGCGGCGATGCGCGGCGCCCGCGGTCAGCCAGCTGCTGCGGCCAACGGGCCCGCGCCCTCCGAGTCCTCGCCGCGCCGGGCGGCGCCTGGCGGGCGGGATGTCGCAATCCGCATGTTCACTCAAGTAGCGATGGCGCCCCATCCAGGTTTATTCTGGTTGCTTGGGCACGGTTCAGACCCCGCTCAAGGGCCCAAGTGCTGGCTCAGGGTCGGGCGGCGCCGGGGCCCGCGCGCGCGCGCCCCCTTTTGGTTTTCGAGTCCCGCGAGACTAGGGCCCACATCAGCACGGCGGGCGTCCATTAGCGGAGAGACCACGCCTGGGGAAGAGCGCGCGGAGGCAGTTCGCTAAGCAGGGCGGCTTCCTGCACGGAGTTGGGGAAGGCAACTTCCACCGTGCCTTTGGCGTGGGCTCGCGGGGCTGTGCCGTGAGGCTGCCTAGTCAGTGAGCTGGGGAGGTTCGCTCGTGGGCGGGGGGCCGCGTGGTCGGGCGGGGTCGCGACGACTTGGGAGAGCTCGGGGGGGGGCGCCATGCGAGGCCGTGGAAGCCCGGCCTGAGCAGCCGCCCCAGGGGCCCCCGACTCGCCACCTCTGCTCCTTGCTCGCCCAGCCGACGGCTGGGGCGACTGCGCGGAGATGGCCTGCAGTTTCAACGGCCACCCTCAGCTGCGCGCGCGGGCCACGGCGCGAGATGGGCGCGACAATGACCGAGCGCTGCCTTTTTTTGTCGCGCCTGCGGGGCCCACCTTCACGGGCCGCGCAACTCTACGACGAGGGCCCCGCTGCGGCCCCGCCTTCGGGAGAGCGCGGGCTCGCGTGTGCCGGGCCCGCTCCCGCGCCTCAGAGCGAGGCGGTGGCCGTCGCGCGAGGCCGGAGTATAAAAGGGGCCCCAAAAGTCTGGGACTCGCCCATATCGCCGTGCCGCCCCGCAGTCCGCGGGCGCCCCCGGCGCGAGCAGTTGCCCCGCGAGGTGCTTGCCCGAGGTGGCCCGTCGGACCCGCCAGGCGCTCGTCGTCGTCGTCCTCCTCCTCCTCCTCCTCCTCCTCCTCCTCCTCCTCCTCCTCCTCCTCCTCTTCCTCCCCCCAGCCCCCCTCGCCCCGGCGGCGCTGGGGGGGCCTGGCGGCGGCCTCCTCGGGGGCCCCGCCCCGCGCGCGGGAGCCGTGGCAGGGGCGGCCCCCCCGCCGCCGGGCGCAAGGGCGCGCGCCCGTCGCGCCCGTGGCCCCGCGGGGGCCGGCCGCCCCTGCGGTGCAGGCGGTGGCGGGGCGCCTCCTCCTTGCGCGAAGGGCGCCAGGGGGCCTCTTCTGCCCGACGCCTCGGCGCCCTCTCCGAGTAGCCCGCGGGAGGCCTGGGCGAGGCCTCCTCCACGCGTCGCCATCGGGGTTCCGTCTCATGTCCCAGACGTCCGGCTGCCCCCGTCTTTTCGATGCGTGGGCCCCGGAAGTCCTGATCACTTCCCCAGGGCCGGTTTTCCGTCCCGGGTCGTTTTTTACGCTCCCGAGGCCGAGAACATTCGAAAACCGACTGCTCCAATCATTTTGTAGCGTCGGATCTCTGAGATCGTTTTACCTCTTTTCTCCCCCGCCCCCCGCGCCTGGGTCGTGTTCTTCAGGGGCCCTGGGGGCGCGCCCTGACCTGTTCCCGCAGTCCCGCCGCGACTACCCGAGTCCGAAAGAGAGGAGACCAAAAGTTTTCGGAGGGCCCAGATCTCCACAAGCCGCGATTTGTTTACAGCGCAAAGCCCCAGAGGTTGAGACCATGGATCTCAGACAGACCCCCTCGGGCAATGAACAAAGCACGACGGGAGGTTTTTCCTTTTTTTGGCCTCTGGAGGCCCTCGCCAGGCCTCGGGACCGCCGAAAAACAGCTCGGGCTGAACATCCAGTCTAGGAGCACAGGGTCGAGACTGCTCAGGGTCGACGTTATGAGCAAAGAGGAGGAGGAAGAGGAGAAGGAGGAGGAGCGAGGAGGAGGAAGAGGAGGAGGAGGACGAGGAGGAGGAGGAGGAGGAGGAGGAGGAGGAGGAGGAGGAGGAGGAGGGGGAGGAGGAGGAGGATGAGGAGGAGGAGGAGCGAGGAGCGAGGAGGAGCGAGGAGGAGGAGGAGGAGGAGGAGGAGGAGGAGGAGGAGGAGGAGGAGGAGGAGGAGGAGGAGGAGGAGGAGGAGGAGGAGGAGGAGGAGGAGGAGGAGGAGGAGGAGGAGGAGGAGGAGGAGGAGGAGGAGGAGGAGGAGGAGGAGGAGGAGGAGAGGAGGAGGAGGAGGAGGAGGAGGAGGAGGAGGAGGCGGAGGAGGAGGGGGTCTGGGAGCGTGGACCGGTTTCGCAGCCCCGCGCTCGTTTTCTGGAGGTCCCTGCCCCCGGGTCCCGCGAGGGCCCCCCGAGGCCGAACACGGCGAAGCATCTCCCGCCGTGGTTATGTTTTTTCCGCCGAGAGGAGTTCCTCGGGTCGCATGTGTCCTACGGTAGGTTTGCGTCGTGTCGACCAGCGGCGACCCCAACGCGGGCGTTCAAGGTTGAACGCCGCCGGCGACCCAGAATCGATCGGTGTTGAACGGTCGGACGTTGCGGCAGCGGCCGATCGTTCAAGGTTGAACGATCCCTGCGGTGTCAAAAACCAACGCTGGGGTCGGCACGACACGAACCTGCCGTAGAGTCCTGCCCCCTGCGCGAGGGTGACACGCACAACTCGAGAAATGTATGGCGGTAGGTTCTGATCCCGCGCTCGGTCGCTGTGTGATCAGGCTCGCGCGTAGTCCGCTCGACCTTCTGAGGCCCCATGCGCTTTCGCAGGCGGCCGCGACCAAAAATATGTGTCCTAGAATCTAGGCAGCCCCAGCCTTTCGGCTTGTGAACAACATGTGGCCAGGCGTTTTCGTTTGGCACAGTGGCATGGCCTGCCGCTCCCGTCTGCCATTGTCTCGTCATGGCCCGTCGACCCTGACACCCGACGTCCTGGAAAAGTTGAAACATCGTGAAAAATCCCGACGGGAGGGAGCCGTAGAGCCCATCTTTCTGCATCATTCTTGGAGCCGTTTCGATCTTTGAGGATGCCGGGCCCCGAAATTGAGCGAAAACGCGCCTTGTGCAAAATCTGCAACGCCAGGATCTGAGGGGATTCGTGTCTGTCGCTCTCGTCCGCGCAGAGTTCTCGAACCGGCTGTCTCATTCACCGAGCGCCGTCCACCTTTCGCGCAGTGCCCACTCGCAAACGTCTGCGAAGCACATGTCTGCCTCGATGTCAGTGTATCGTGAAGCCCCCGTGGCGGATCCAGGCCATCTGCGAGTAGTTGCTCTGCGAGTCGTGGAACACGCTTGCTCCCACATGGCCGGCTCGGGGCGGCTCCCGGGCCGGCCCAGGGGAGCCTCTCGGCGCCCATGCGGGGGCGGGCCGGCGGAGACCGCGCGGGGCGAGGCCGCCTTCTTCCAGACGGGGCTGGAGATCGGCCGGAGGCGCGGCGAGGGGGGGCGCCGCGGGAGGACCCCGACATCTCCCCAGGTCTCCGAGCCCAGACCCCCTCGGGCAACGAGGAAGAAATCATGACGGGAGTGTTTTGGTTTCTTTTATCCATGTTTGGCCTCTGGAGGCCCTTTACTGGCCCTCGGGACCTTCAAAAAAGGGCTCGTGATGAAGAACGGCTCCAGGGCGAGGGAATGGGTCGAGACCTCCGGGGGTCGACGCTATGAAAAAATCATGACGCCGGGGGTCTGGGAGGATTCGTTTTGAATCTGGGCGTTTTTCTTCGATCTTGGCCTCATGGGGCCTTTCATCGAGCCCGAGGGCCAGCAGCAATGGGCTCGGGATTCGGGACGAAGAACTGCCCCCGGGGGAGTGGTCGGGACCTCTGGGCCGAGGATCGAACAACATCGGATCGTAGGATGTCTAGTTTTTCGCGCTGCAGAAAGATCACGGCGGGCGCATCTTTTTGTTTTGGCAACTGTCGGCCTCTGGGGGTCGTCATGTGGGGCTCCCGGGGCTCCGGGGCTCGAGGTGAAAAACTGGTCCCCCGTCGGGGAAGTGTACGACTCGAGTTCACCAGGGCTCGAGATTGCTGACGCAATTTGTCAGTCCCTACCTGAGTTTTGAGGTCCCAGTTTTCATGGGATGTTTGCGGCTGGAGCTCGCGTCAAATACTCCTTTTGGTCCCGCCACGTGTCTGACGGCCCTGTCCGTCCAAATCGAGTCCCCCCACCATCGAGCATTAGTTACGCCTCCTCGTTCTGGGAAGGGGTCCAGACCTCCAGGGAGCCACGCTACGGAACGACGAACACGGCGTCAGATGTCTGTCGGGGGGGAAGGGGGCGAGGCGGGAGGAGGCCGGGGAGAAGGTGCTATGACGGGACGGGGAGCAGGGAGATGGATGAGGGAGGAGGTGGAGGAGCAGAGGAATGGAGGAGGTAGGGGAGATAGAGGACGAGGGATGAGAAGGATGAGGAGGAGAACAAGAAGGAGGAGGAGGAGGAGGAGGAGGAGGAGGAGGAGGAGGAGGAGGAGGAGGAGGAGGAGGAGGAGGAGGAGGAGGAGTGGGAGGAGACGGAGGAGGAGGAGGAGGAGGAGGAGGAGGAGGAGGAGGAGGAGGAGGAGGAGGAGGCGGAGGAGGAGGAGGAGGAGGAGGAGGAGGAGAGAGGAGGAGGAGGAGGAGGACGGAGGAGGAGGAGGAGGAAGGAGGAGGTGGAGGAGGAGGGAGGAGGAGGAGGAGGAGGAGGAGGAAGGCGGAGTGGGAGGCATAGGAGGTGGAGGAGGAGGAGGAGGAGGTGGAGAGGAGAGGAGGGAGGAGGGATGGAGCATGAGGAGGAGGAGGAGGAGGAGGAGGAGGAGGAGGAAGGAGGAGGAGCAGGCGGGAGGAGGGACGGAGCATGAGGAGGAGGAGGAGGAGGGAGGAGGAGGAGGAGGAGGAGGAGGAGGGGGGAAACGAGGAAGAACGTGAGGAAGTACCTATTCCATACTTATCTGAGCTGCCATTCAGTTGCAGTGTGCAGTCTTCTCAGCTGGTGTGTGCGGAGGAGGAGGAGGAGGAGGAGGAGGAGGAGGAGGAGGAGGAGGAGGAGGAGGAGGAGGAGGAGGAGGAGGAGGAGGAGGAGGAGAGGAGGAGGAGGAGGAGGAGGAGGAGGAGGAGGAGGAGGAGGAGTGGGAGGAGACGGAGGAGGAGGAGGCAGACGCTGGGGAAGGAAGGGGAATGGGCGAGAACATGGAGGCAGGGAGGGTGTGCTTCGTGCTTCCTGCGAAGGCTGCTCTTGGATCACTTGGATCAGGAAATTCGCCTGGTCGTCGCTGCGGGGGTCTCGAGCCTCTGAAGCTGGTCAGAACATCTGGGCCTAGCAGGGAGTTCGAGATCAGTCATATTATGTCATTGAATCGTGGTCTACAGATTGTCCAGTCGCTCAAATTGGCGCGCCGCTGCGAGCACACCCCGCCACGAGGGCTTCATCAGTCCGTGCCAGGGGCAGACCGCGAAACCGCAAAGCGAAGGCAACCCTGAACCGTGTAGGTTCCCTTCCTGTCCGTGTGCCTGATGTGACGTCTTCTGCTGCAGCTGTCGCCGATGAGGTACGTGGGCTCCTCGCAGAGCTTGGGCACCGACGTCCACGAACGGCTCACACGGTGGCCGACGGCCTCTGGGCAGCTTCGGCGGCCTGCGCATTTGACTCTCGGCGCCACCTCAGGGGGGGAGCCTCGGGTCCCTGGATCCCCTGGCGCGAAGCTGGCACCAACCCGCTGCGGTGCTCGCGCGAGCACCTGATGCGCGGCGCCCCAGATGCCGCGATCGCGCCTCGAGGGAGCAAAGGTGCTGTGTGTACCGACCCGGAGCAGTTCCCCGTCGGCGCCGCCCATCGACACCACACGGCACGCGAAGGCTTCGACGGTGTGGCGCTAAGGGCAGGACCGCGGACCTTTTGGACGCAGCTGACTGTTGGTGACTCGTTTTCCACCGCCGTCACCATGAGTAGGAGGGGGAGGGGATCCTCCTCCTCCTCATCCTCCTCCTCCTCCTCCTCTTCGTCCTCCTCCTCATCTTCCACCCCCTTCCCTCCTCCAACTTATGGTGGTGGTGGTGGAAAGCAGGCCCATCAATAGTTCCACACATGGTCACCTGGCCCCCCCCCCGCAAATCACGGGCAGGTCCAAAACTGCACCGGCCCGGCGATCCGCGGCATCGCGGTGGCATCATCTGACGAGGTTGTCCTTCCTTGCCTCCTTCGCGACGCCTGGCGCGCGTGCGAGGCGGCTTAGCAGATCGCAGACTTGTGCGGCGACCATTTCCTCTTGCAGTCCAGTGAGCACGGCGTTGTACAGGCCGTGCAATATTTGACCCTCGCGGCACCTGCTGTCACATCCAGGCGGACATCCCCCGCACGCCAGGAGCAGCACATTGCAATGGGGGGCCTGGTCAATTTGGACCCCCCGCGCGCGCGTCGGCCGTGGCCTCCGCGCGAAGACCCCTCGCGAGTGCGGCGCGGGATAATCTTCATTTTCGATTCACCCGTGCGTCCCCCGCAACCGCTACTACAGTACAGCCGGACCAAGGTAGAAGATCGAGGTCGGTTCGGGGATGGTGCCCTTATGCTCTTCGTGCTTGTTGAATGCGCTTGAGCATCCTGGGGAGGGTACCCTTGGATGTTCTGTGTGTTCCGTCGGAAGGAGGGTCTCATGCTCTTGAGGGGTGCTCTACTGGCTTAGGTTCTGGCTGCAATTGAGGCCGATGCTTTACGAGGAACAGGACGGCTTCGTCATAGGGGGAAAAAAGACAGACACAATTAATCGTCGATCCCCCCGAAAATATGGGAAAATATGGGAAGTGGGGGGGAAGACAGAACCCCATAACATATGGGAACATATAGGGAATCCTGTTATTTGTATGAATTTATTTGTGTGTGCCTGGGCCCCTTCAAGGTTGACGCCCCAGAGGCCCACCGACCTGGACCGTCGCGCGCGCTATCCAAAAGCAGGGCAGATTCACAAATGTGCGGCGTCGAACTCTTGGTGGGACGGTCCTGGCCGTGATGCTGCCTGACTCGGCACATCCAGGCTTCACCGACGCCTATCGCGACAGGTGCTCTTGGTCATCACCATTGGGCTCAGCTTGACCTCCACTTGGCGACGCAACAAAACACGGGGCCAGTGACTCACGTGCACCTGGGTCGCGAACCCGATGCGCTCTGCCCTAGCCCTAGCCGCCTCTTCCGCGGGGGTTGGGAATGTGCTCCCGGATGGTTGCGACTGCAGCGCGCCTGACCGCGGCCAAGGCATGCGGAGGTCATGTCACTGCCGCTGGCAATCGGGCTGGGCCCCCAACCCTTCGTGCTCGTCCATGGGGGGCGAGCGACACCATGGCCGCGGCCATGGTATGCCCCCGGATGTCATGGCCCTTTCTTGCCATGCCGAGCCGGTCCTTGGCCCCCCCCCCCTTGGTCCGCGCACGTGCTTCTTCTGGACTTCCCCCCCGGACGCCCCCGAGCCCTCCACGCCACAGTGCTCCGTCCCTCGGAGCACCATACACGGAGGGCCACTGTCGTTGCTCGACTCCCGATGTGGGAGAACCAGGCCTCCGTGCAACACTGCGCCCCTGGGCGGAGGCAGGCCTGGACAGGCCCCCTGGCCTGTTCTGCCTTCACAGGAGATGCGTTTCCCTTCTCCCTCTTCCGCCGGCTGCTGTGGTTGAACATGCGAGAGCTGCGCAGTTCATCGACTGGACGTAAGAGTGACCTTTCGCCAGGGTGACCGTTGGTGCGGGCACACATGGGTCCCCAGGTAGCTGAAAGCGAAGCAAGCATGAGCAGCGGCTTGCGCACCCAGCCTTGGTCCCCCCGCGGCCCCCGAGAAGCCGCGCACCAAAGGTCTCTCTTACCCAGGGTCACTCTTGCGTGTAGCCGAGAAGTTCAGTCCTTTGCTCGCGGTCTGTCCGGCTGATTTTAGCTTTGGCTCCTGATGTGTGGCGCCACTCGCGTCTCGATGCTTCCTGCTGGGTCATGCTGTCCGCTCCCATCCTCTCCCTCCACGAACAAAACTACGAGCAAAGACGACTCACTCAGGGATTCCCAGGGCGTCCGAGAGCAGTCTGGAGCCCTCGGGGAGCGCCTCCCGGTCTAGCCAGCAGGGGCCCGGGGGGGCTTCGGAACGCCTCGCAAGCTCTTCACGGAGAGCCTTCGGGGGGCCCCGGGAGGGCTCCCTCAGGCCTCCAGGGATGGCTTCTGGAGGGTCCGCGGGGACTGCCGCGACCTCCGGGGAGACCTCCGGGGAGGCCTCCAGGAAGCCGAATGGGACACTGCTTTCGCGCCGCCCCGACCCGGCGGCGGAGCCAGCGCGGGCGCTCGAGCTTGGAGCGGGCCCCGGGGCTGCGAACAGCCCACGGCGCGGAGTCTTAGGTCGTCGTTTTCTCATGCATTGTTTTGCCGATCGGCGCGGGCCCTCGCCCCCCCGCCTCACCACCCCCCTCATGGAGTAGGTCTTCGCTGTTTTTGGCGCCTGTTTCGAGCAGGTGGAGTCTGCCCCATAGGACGCACTGTTGCAAACAGTCGTGCTGAGAAGAGGTCCGGAGCCAGATCCCCCCCTTCCCTTCCTCCCAATGTCGAAACGCGGAATAAGAAAACGTTTACCTGGATGTTCCGAGAGGAGACCGTTCAAGATTGAACGGTTCACGCGGAGTGCGTTGCAACACCCTCCAGACTCGTTGGCTGTCCGAGCTCCCCGAATTGTTCGCACCCCCGCTTCGTGCGCACGCCGAGGTACAAGATCTTGAACCCTGAGCGCATGCGGGACTCATACGGCAAGCTCATGTATTTCTTGCAGGACTCCCGCAAAACCGACGTCCGCGAGCTCATCGAGTTCGACAGCGTCGTGCGGGTGCGGACGGTGTACGACGTGCTGAGCAAGACCGCCAGGACGCCCGAGAGAGGAGCAGCAGCAGCAGCAAGAGCAGGAGGGCGAGGATAAGCGAAGGCGCATCACGTGGCACAGTAGGAGGAGGGGGACGGAGAAGCAGCGGCAGGAGGAGCGTTAGGTCTTCCTCCTCCAGCTCGCCATGCGGAGAGTCTGAGCTTTCCTTCACGGATCTGAGAGCATCATGTGGATCCGCTGGCATTTGAATGATTCCTCTCGCTCCGCGGGGGCGCACGTCCACACTGCGGAGAGCACGGGCGTTCGGGACTTCCGTGAAGTTCTGTGGAAAGTTTATTAAGGACCTTTTGGGGGCCTAATTTTTGGGCCTCTTGGGGGGGTTCTTGGAGGCAATCTGTTGATTCCTGAGCGGCACGGGCGTTACCAGGGGGAGGGGGGGCGGGGGCCGGTCACCTCACGAGGCGCACCTTGCGGAGGGTGTGCGGAGGGGCCTGGTGAACGTTTGGGCTGGGAGCGGGTCGTCATGGGGCCATCTGGAGCCGTCTTGGGGCCATACAGTCAACCCGCATGGTAAGTATGGGCAACGGTCCCGAGGGTACCCTTGCATCCTTGCCTCCTCGGTCCATCCTTGGCTACCTTCGCTGGCCGCGCCGCGCTCGAAGAGCCTCGACACGGCCTTCTCGCGCCCCCTCATTACATGGGTTGACTGTTTCGGGCCGTCTTGCAACAGTCTTCCCCGTCTTGAGGCCCTCGTGGAGCCCCAGAGGCCCACACCCTTGATTTTCCATACGTTCCGTCCGCCTCTGCATCCGCGGGGCCGCCTCCTTTTCCGTCCCTCGTCTACGGCACGCTTCGGCGAACAAGCTGTTTCTGCGCCCCGGTTTCCCAGTGCACGCGCTTGAGCTTTGCGACGCCGCCGACAAAAAGTCAGCACAAGGCAACGCCAATTCCAAGTCCCGATGAGCATTGCAACAAGGCGCCAGCAGTATGCAATTGCGCGGGCCTCTCGGTGGTCTCTTGGAGCCGTTCGGGGACCTCTTGGGGGTCTTTTGGAGGCTTTTTGGGGGTACTAGGGGCCTCTTGGGGGCCTCTTTGGGGCCTCTTGGGGCATATGGAGAGCCGCTTTGGGGGCTCTCGGTGGGCTCTTGCGCCACCTGGCCCCTTCGGACGCCGTCTTGGAGGCCTCTCGGGGCTGCCTTGGGGCTCTCTTGGGGCCCCGCTGTGCCGTCTTGGTGGCTCTTGAGCCGTTTTCAGCGCCTCTTTGGGCCATCTTGGCCCCTTTGTGGGCCTCTGGCCGTCTTGAGGCAATTTTGGAGGCTCATGGCCCCCCGATGGTGGGAAAAAAGACAATAATGCTAACCTATAGCAACAACCACATGAATGTTAAGGTTGTTGGCCTTTGGAGGCGATCTTGGGGGCCCCCTAGGGACCCTCTGGGGCTGTCTTGGAGGCCTCTTGGGCCCTCTTGGGGCCATCTTGGGCCGTCTTGAGGCCGTCTTGGCCCCTCTCGGGGCCATTTTTCGCTGTCTCGAGGCCCGCTTGGGTCCCCAAGAGGCCCAAGAGGCATAGATTGTCGATGGTCCATGCATGTTGGTACGCTTTTGACCCCCAGAATGGGGGTCGTCAGATCTGGTCCGGCGACATGGCGCGACTCCAGGGGGGCGGTAGGGGGGGAGACATAATAATGTAACACAATCGGACATGCATCAAGTATGCAATTGTTGGATGCCGCTAGACGCGTTGCATTAAGGCGTTCACCGAAAAACGCTGCCGCTCAGCACCTCACCTTCGGACGTGAATTCCTCTTGCTTCGCGGGGTGCACGTCCGGAGCACGTGCAGTCCAGTCGTTGCGGGGCCTTTTGGGAGCTTCTGTGTGGCCTCTTGGAGGTGTCTTGGGGGTTCTTGGGGCCTCTTCTGCACTGGGCTTCTTTGGGGCCTCTTGGGGGCGTCTTGGGCCGTCTTGGGGCGCTTGTGGCCCATTCGGAAGCCGGTCTGGGGGCCTCTCGCGGCTGTTTTGGGGCTTTCTTTGGGTCCTCTTCAGTTGGGCTGTTTTAGGGCCCGCTTGGGCCATCATGGAGGCCTTTTGCGGGCTTCTTGGGCCGTCTTGGGGCCATTTTGGAGGCTGCTTGGGCCGTCATGGGCCTCTGAGGGTCGACAAAGGCGAGGACGTTACCGTGCCTGGGTAGTGGGTCAGAGTGGCGGCCCGTCCCGCCACCTTGCCTGGGTAATCCAGAAGCCGCATTAAAGTGATCATTTGTTTTTTGGCCCCCCCTCTGTCACAGAGGGGGTCTAAGATGCCCCCCCTCTGTCACAAAGGGGGTCTAAGATGCCCCCCCTCTGTCACGGAGGACCTCGTTCTGGGTGCTCTTCTGCCACGGGAGCTCCCGATACGATTGGAGACGATAAAATGTGATGGCGGGATGGGGGATTGGAGGGGGAGGGAGAAGAAAACGATGAAGGAGAGGAGGCAACGACAGCACCGATGAAAGCACCGTTTCTTTTTCCTTCTCCGCTCGGGCAGCGGTCGCCGAGCACGACGGCGCGCGCGAGTCGCCGCCGCTCACGATGCATTGGCAAGGCCTCCGCTGCTGCGGAGGGTCGACGTTCGGCCGATGAGGCCTCCCTCCGCTGCTGCGGAGGGGCGGCTCCTGTGCGATGGTTCAGCTAAGTTTTTCCCAGGGATTGGTTTCGGGGGGGTGTTCGACCCACCTCCAATTCGTGGCCTCCCAGTGCCCCTGGCCGCTACTCCACCCACTGTGGCTGCTCCACCAGTCACTGGGGCGTTGGTCGCTGCCGAATGCAACTTGCATGTCGCGCCAGGCGGAGTCGACCATGCGGTCCTGCAGCGAGGAAGCCTCGCCGCTCGGCTGTTGCCACTCGCGCTCCTCGCCCTCCTTGGTGCGCCACCACTCATCCCTGCGCCACTCCCCGTCTGTTGGTTGCTGCCGTGGCGTCTGTGGCCTCCGCTGCTGCGGGGGCTCTGGCGGCTCGTGGCCGAGGGCAGCGATCGCGTCCGAGATGTAGCTGGCGGCGCCGCGCTGCCCTCGCTGCTCCAGCGGCGCAGGCCCTGGAGATGGGCACTGCGGGGTCGGCTGCCACCTTGGGGGTGATAAGTAATTATTTCTATAATTATCCCCTCCCTGTCAACTCCCGCCCCTTCCCGACACTCATTTCCTTATGTCATCCCTCGTCCTGCTCAGCCTATTCCTCATTCCCTCTCCTCCCTCCTGCCCTCCCCGTGCCCCACCCTCCCTCTCCCTCCCTCCCCCTTTCAACCCCCCGCCGCGACCTTCCATCGCCAGCCGCGGGCCTGTCGCGGCCGTCGTCCGCGTTCCTCGTCTGCCCATCTTGGTGGGCGCCACGCCTGTTGGGCGCGCTCGTCTTGCTCGTCCCTCTCGCTGTGCTGCTCTGGTGCCTGGCGCTCGGGTCCGTACTGCTCGGGCGGCAGCGGCGCCCTGAGCGCAGCTGCCAGCTGTTTCTGGGCGCGCCTGTCCTTCTTCTCTTTGGCTCTCTCCTGCTTCCTCCCCTGCGAACGCACGCTGGCCATGCGCATTTGGAACGGGAGAGGGTAGTGGGCGCCGCCGTGCCAGCGCCCCTCCACCTCCACGGTCTCTGGCGGGAACGTCTTCTGCAACGCGCGGAAGAGGGTCACCTCGCGATTACTAGAGAAGCGGTGGTCCCCTCTAGCCTCAGCCTCGGCGCGCCTCAGTTTCTCACGCTCCTTCTCTTGGATCTTGCGTTGGCATTCCTCTGACTGAGTCAGTAAATCCTGGAGGTGCTCGCGGGCGTCTTTTTTCGGGTAGTAGCAAGAGTAAGGCATCCCAGGGCCTCCGTTCTGGCTGTGGTGCCAGTGCGTCGGCTCCGATGATGGGCTGGTGGAGGCCCCCGCTGCTGCGGGGGCCTCTGCCTTGCTTCTGTTACGGTGCCCGATCTCACCGATCACCGACTTGCGTGCGAAGAGCAACCCCGTCTCGTCTCTGTCGTGCACGGCGCTCAGCGGCCAGCACAGGGTGTACTCGCCAGGCCTGTTGAGAACGAAGATGCCGCAGCTGTCCAAGCACGGAGTGCCGTCCAATCCGCGCCAGAAGTACGCTGCTGCCGTCCCCAATCGCATGCCTAGACCCCGAAGACTCGGCAGCGTCTGTGTGAGCGCCATGTTGAAATCCCCACAAAGGATGTCAATGCTGTTGTCCTGCAAGATGGTCGCCAACCTCCGCCACCACGTCTTGTGAGCCTCGTTGAAGCCTTTGGAATTTGTCGCCGTGTCGCGGTGGAGGTGCACCGCGCACACCCGCACTTTCGAGCCGAAGTGGGCGTAGGTTTGATCGAAGTCGATCTCAACCACCATGATCCTCGAGAACGCTTCCATCTTGCGCCCTCTTGCTGTTTTGTAGTGGCCGTCGACACTCCTTTCCCAGTGGAGCAGCCGCATTTCGTAACACAGATTTGCGCGCGCAGCGATGCACAAGGACTTGTCCTCACGCCCGCGCAGGGTCAAGTATTCGTACTCTGGTCGATTCTGGAGCTGTTGGCAATCGCCAACACTCGCAGCACGACTTCCTCTTGCTGTCGCCATCGCTGCTGCGGGGGCGACAAAAGGCCCACCGCTGCTGCTGCTTTGGCCCTCCGCTGCTGACGCCCCCGCTGCTGCGGGGGCGTCCGCCTGCAGCGGCGGCGGTTTCCCTGGCCGCTGTAGGATTGACTCCATCTGCTCCTCACATTCCGCAAAGCACGCCACGAGAGCAGGGCAATGCCGCAGCTGCAACTCAAGTCTCCGCCGCTGGTCCGCGTGGTTGGTCTCGCTCGGCATGGGGCCCCAGTTCCCGAACAGGACGGAAAGGTTGCCCACGTTGTCGTTCCGTGGCCTGTTCACGTCAGCCGCTCTTCTTTCGCAGAAGATCTCGCGCGGGACGGTGTCGCGAAGAACGCAGTTGCGCCGCTCGACGTCGTCGGGCGGCTTGCAGCCCCTAAATTCCTGAGGCTCTTCGTCATCGCTCGGATCCACCACGGAGTCGCCTGGGCGGGTGCGCATCGTAGAAACTT